CAACCTTTCAGAAGTGGTGTGCCGAGTCTTCATTTATTCACTCTAATTTAAGGTTTCACGTGCCAGTAATGCATTTTAACATTTTTAGAAGGTCTCTATAAGGCTATAATATATAACTAAACTATTGTTGTATGTAAAGTAAATAAGGCTTTTAAAATGTTTAAGAAGGTTCATTTAAAATTAAATTAAAATGCAGAGCCCCCGGACTGGTGGCCAGGACCCAGGCAGTCTGAGTGCCACTGAAAGTCAGCTTGCGTGCCACCTTCGGCACGCGTGCCATAGGTTGCCTACCCCTGACTTAAATCCATTGCCAGTGCCCCTAAAAAATGATGAGATCTGTCCTCAAAACACCCTTATCATTCCAATGAATAACTCCATCCCAGCCAACACCAAAGGAAAGAAAGAATGAGCTTTGCATTATATCAGGAAGGATAACAAAGCCAGGCTGTGTCACACCAAGAGACCCTTCTGTACTTCCAATTTACAGGAACCCCCTACTGACCTCAACTGTAGCAGCGTGGCATGAGGAAAGAGACATGGGTGAAAACAAAAGCTGCTTCTTCATATACTTTGGATTCAAGGTCCAAGAAGACAGAGAGAAATACAGCCTGGAAAATACCAACTCCATGTGCACAATCTTATACAACACTTTTTTATAGTGGCATCAGTGTTAGATGTGGCTACATGCAACTATATGCTGCAGTGAAAGGCAGGCTGCATCCACACTCACTGCAGTGTGTAGCTACACATGGCAGTGAAAGGCTCTGGCAGGAGAAGGCAGCAGGGAACGGTTCTGGAAGCAGGGAGCTATTGGAATCTTCCCCCACTGCTGGAGTCTTTCACTGTTCTGGCAGCTCCCTGCGTCAGGGAAAGGTTCTGAAATCTACCTGCAGTAGGGAAAGGCTCTGGCAGTGGGGAGCTCCCGCATCTACATGGCTATTTTTAAGCAGTGTAGATGTCCTGCTCCCAGAGCCTTTCCCTCTCCAGTGAAACACTGGCGGTGGGGAAAGGCTCAGGTGGAGAAAGGCAGCTCCCCACTGCCAGAGCCTTTCACTGCTG